GGAGGAGGAGGCCTCCTCCTCCGCCGCCTCCGCCGCACGCGCGGCCGCGGCCGCGCGAGGGGAGCGCGCGCCGGGCCCGCGCCGCGCCGGCCTGCGGCGTGTTTGGATCCCGCCGGGCGCGCCGCGCCTGGCCGCGCCTGGCCGCGCCGGGCTCGGGCCGGACGAAAGGGGGGGATCGGGAAGGGGGGGTTACGAAATTGGCTGCATGCAGCTGGTTTCGGCCCCACCGAGGGGCCCATGCCTCGATGCAGGGCCGCCTCCGGCGCCGGGAGGCGCCGGAAGAATCAGCTAATTCCGTGAGCTGGATTCTCAAGCCCGCCCTTTGCTATCCCCCCCTTTCGCCCGACCCGACTGGCGCGGCGGCGGGTCCACGGCCTCGCGCGAGGTGCCGCCTCCGAGCCACGGATGGCGGCAAAGGTTAAGTCGGGCGTGTCCCCCGCCCTACTGGGGGATTTTCGACGAAAAGTTAAAAATCGTCAAAACATATTCCAAAATAGTCCCCAGTTTTTACTATCTTTGAATATTCCTGCTGTAGAGGGACGGGCACGACTTAAGGCAAAGGTCGGCGGCGAGACTGGGGGGGAGTTCGGAATGAAATGAACCAAAAAACGAGTTCTAAAGTGTCAGATTCTAAAGGGAGCAGACGATGACGTAAGACAAGCAACTCTGAGGTCCGCGCGGATTTCTCGGAAGGGCGCGGCAAAGATCGGCGGCGAGCTCGGGGGGGAGCAGTTAAGTCACCGAGCGCGTTCCACTACTCGCAAAGTGTCTACTCGCAAGCGTCCCCCAAAAAGCATGCCTCCTGCTTCGATGTAACTTATCGTGGATCCCCCGCGGCGGATCCAGGCCATTTGCGAGTAGTTACTTTGCGAATAGTGGAACGCGCTCGTCTATCAAGGGAACTAGCAATGACATAAACATAAAAACTCGGAGGTCCGCGCGGATTTCTCGGATCGGATCGGATTTCTCTGATTTCTTGAAACCTGGCAAAGAACTCTGCGCAACCCGACTTAGTGGGATGCGGGTTATCACTTGAAAAGAGACGGGGCAGCCCGCACTGGCTGGACCAGCACTGCCCCCGCTGGTGACGAACCCCCGTGACGCCACGCAGGCGTACTGGGAGGGGCCACCTAAGGGACCGACGATTGGCTGGTTCCTCGGCCTTTAGCACTGCCTTTCCCCCTTCGTGGGGCCCGCTTGAGCGCTACCACAAGGGGAATCATGGGAAGATCGGCCTGCTGATACGTGGCAAAAACGGGGGTCCGAAAGGGATCTGAAATCACTACCCTGGCCACTAGGCTTGCCAAACGCACACTACCTGAAAAAGCGCCCCTGTTGGGCTGTGAGGATCTTCTCGCATCCCCCTCTCTCCTTTCACGGCTCCTACTCCTACTCCTATGTTCCTCCCTCACAGGCCTCACGGGCCTCACTGGTCCACTTGGACCCGAAACCTCATTCATTTCTTCTCGATAAGATTCAGGATCCTCGCGGCTTCTCGCTCGAGAGGTCCTTTCGGGGCTGGGCCTATCAGCTGCTCCGCCCTCTTCTGGTCCTCCTCGTAGTTGAGCCACCAGAGAACCAGCTCCCTCGCCATCATGCCAGGCTCGTTGTAGCTGAAGGCGAAGGTCACGCGTCCTTTCTTCGTCTGCTGCTGCTGGCTCGATGAGCCACTCGTCTCGGTGGTCTTCCTCCCCTTGTGCTTCCTGTATCGAAAGTGCAGCACGTGGTTGCCCACTGTGTGTGGGGCGGCGCCCTGGATGTACTTCGTGAAGTACCCGTGGAACTTCTTGGTCTCCGCCTCTACGTAGTCCTCTTTGCCTCCCTGGATGAACTTCTTCACGTTGGTCGCGAGGTTGAGGCAGACCGCGGCCCACAGCTGCACGTGCGGGGGCCCACGAGCGCGAAAGTCTACCTTTTCGCCTGCCCGTTGACGTTCTTTCATCTGCCTGGACGTCTCGTCGTACTTGACCCCCGAGTCGATCATGATCTGCGTGATCCCGTCGCCTGACTCGAGGAGCTCCCACGTCTGGTAGACTGTGCCCGCTAAGTTGGCGAGTTCCCGCGCCGAGGTGAGGCACAGCGTGGTGAGGAGGAGCACCAGGGCCTTGGTGAGGTCCTTCTCGTGCTTGTCGCCCTTGGCTCCGCCCTTGGCGTGCTTCGGTGGCTTTTCCTCCGAGCCTGGGCCCTCTTCCGCTCCCCTCTTCGTCTCCGACAGGGCCTGCATCCACTCGGGCGGCGTGAGCTCCGCCATGAGCCCCAGAGTGCTCCCGAATAAGGCGGGTCCGCGGGAGAACAGGGCCAGGCACGTGGCTGCGTAGATGTTGGCATAGTGCATCTAAATCTGAAGCTTCTACGTCGCACTGAGGACACGACAGTGACGATGGAGGCTCAAGAGGGCGAAACGTTCTCCCCCACCGAATCGACAGTGTCCCCGTCGCACAGCAAGCACAAGATGCCGAGCAGCACATGCCCTGTCCCAGAAAATCTCCCTGCAGCATATACATGTGTTACTGGGGGTGAGCACGTGGCACAGGGAGCGCAGCGAGTGGCGGGACCTCATGTGCGCCATCAAGCCCTTACGCGTGGTGAACTCCTCTTCGCACCCCTCGAACTGGCAGCGATAACGTGTTTCGAGTTCGGGAAATTCTTGTGTCTCATGATCACGACCTCCCCCTCCGTCCACCTCCACCTTCAGACCAGGGGGGGCGATAGTCACTCCAAAGAAACAACTCCGTATCATAGTGAAGCCGATGTTCAGAAGTTCGTGGCGCACCTCGGGGTCCCACATGAGGCCAGGACGATCACCACGAGCTCCCAGTACATCCTCAGAATCACGTATGAGCCCCTGTGCCCAGTAGAAGTCCTCAGAGACCCTGCGAGCCCAGGGGGAGGCCTTGCGAGCCCTGGGAGACCCTGCGAGCCCTGTGCCGGCCCCGTCTCACAATCCTCGTGCCAGTTCGACTGCACCCCGGCGAGTTGTTCAGCCGGCGTCTTTTTCTGGCGAGCGGCCCCGTTCCAGCCGCAAGCTCCGGAGCCCCACGCGGGTCCCGACAGCCCCAAGACGACCCGCCACGCTTGCTTACTGGTCGTATATGTGAGGGGTCGGACGGGCCGGCTTTCGGCACCAGGTCGTCCTCCTCGTCCTCCTCGTCCTCCCTGCTCCTCCTCCCGGCCGCGCTTCACGATTTTAGCGGCTCAGAAAGTAACGTGTTTACACGGATTGAGGGCTGCCCCGTTACAGCCTGGGGCTGCCTCGGCATCCTGCTTGGTGGCCTGAGCGGTGGCTCGACTGGCTCGTCCTGTCCCCGTCCTCCTTCCCGCTCCTTCCCCCTCGTGCCGGCCTTGTCTTGCGACTTTTACTGGCACTGCGTGTGGCTCACTTGCTTGGGTCAGGGGCGCTCGCCCGCAAGCATTTGAGTTTTAATGAAGATGTGAAGTATCTGGTAAAAAAAAAAGAAAAAAAATTGGGGGTCAGGTATCCGTCGACGAGAGGCGTCTCCCCCGACTCGAAACGCACTTCCCCAAAGAGGGCCACGAACAACTGGGTGTGGCTGGTGGGGTGGGCAGCCCAAGACTTATACCAGTTAAGTCGACGAATGCCCAGCTCCACCGAGGTCTCACAAATACGCCAGTGTTTTAGCACGGCCTGATTGGACATTGTCCTGACTGCGCCAGTTGAAGTAGTCCATCTTGCACGCCCTCGCATGCAAACACGGGCAAAATGAGCGATAATGGTATCCAGGCGGGCGCACTGCTGCTTCGTGAGCAAGAACGCCTCCATTCCACATAGAGCCGAATTCTGCACAAGGGATAAGCAGATCGCCCGAGTAAGTTTCCAAGGCAGGGTTAACGTCCAGAAACCGCCCAGGGAGTAGAAGGCCGAGCGTGCAGCCTGGTGTCGTCTGATCACCTCCTGGCTCGAAGCCTGGGACATAGAGACGCGGGGCCCCAGGTACCGCACCTCCTCCTTCAGAACCCCAGAGATGAGAGCCCGTCCAGGCCCACGAAGCCAGCGACGACAAGCCATGGCCCCCTCCCCTTCAAGCCAGACTGCCAGCTCTTGTCTCCCCCAATTCTGTTGGTACCCACATTCCTGGAGGTGGGAGTCTAGCAAATCGTCTGCCTCGCGCAACTTGGCGAGGAAGGAGCCCATGAGGTCGCCCTGAGCGATCAGGGTGTAGCGATAAAGGTCGTCCGCATACTTAAATAGGCTAAGATCAACTTCCTGACCTTGCCACTCAGCGCGTAAAAGGTGCAAAGACGGGTCAGCAACACAGAGCGATTCCGTCCATTGCTGCACTGGACGCTGAAACGTAGTAGAGAACGCTGCCACCATGAACGGATCACCCATCACTCCTCCCACCCTGGTCTTGACCGCCACATCCCCCTCATCACTAGGTAGTAAAACCACAGCATCACGATATCGTTTTTTACAAAACAGTAAATTCTCATCAGACGCATTAAGGCCATACTCGTATCCATGGCCGTCCAAGAGGTGCTACCAAACGCGTTACTCATATCCTTGAGGCTAGCCCCGAAGCTCCATCCCGCCTGTCGTAATCTCCACCCAACCACCTGAGATGCCAAGACAGCCCCTTCCCTACGACGGTGCCTCTGGAACCCATAGTCCTCGGGGGGAAGCTCGTTGGGGAGGAGATCGGCGAAGAAGGCTTTGCCCACGACGGGGAGGACGTGGACCACACGTTTCCCACGAGGCCCAGGTTGGGCCGACTTGTGCAGAGCGCAACCCCGACTAATACTCCAGTAAAGAGGGGCCATGTCTGTGATTCGCACTTTCATGAAGGCGTCCAGTAGCACCTCGAAGGAGTTGGAATGGTAGGAGGAGGGGGAGGAGGAGGAGGAGGAGGGAGAGGAGGAGGAGGAGGAGGAGGAGTTGGAATGGGATGAGGAGGAGGACGAGGAGGAAGAGGAGGGGAAGGAGAAGGAGGAGGAGGAGGAGGAGGAGAAGGAGGAGGAGGAGGAGGAGGGCGCTCTCCCAGGGCATCGGCGACCCCTTCCAGAGCATGGTGGACCGCTCGAACACCTCCACCCCGACGAGGCGCCTCCATCCGCCGCGTGGCCTCTTCCGATGGCCGCCGTCTCCGTCTTCGTCGTCGTCGTCGTCGTCGTCGACGTCCTCGATCGCAGGTCCATGTGTTAGTTCCCCAAACAGTGCGTGCACCTAGGGGCTCCCGTGTCTTTCCTGAACTAAAGTCGGCCTTGATTTAGTAGGTCGACCCTACCAAGTCTAGGGTACCCTTTTTGTCCTGCTTTTAGAGACGCGTGCCTTCAACAACCCTGTGACGACGGTGTAGCCCTCGGAAGGGTCTTGTGTCCTCTCGCGTTCCCTCTTTAATTGTTGTTGTTGTCGTTCTTGGTCGTAGGTCCACGGCCTAGTTCCCCAAGGGGTTCCCGCTTCTTTCCTGAACTACGGCCGCGTGTCCTCGCCAAGCAGGCCCGATGGCAGGCGGCCTGTGCTCCTGGCCTGTCGCCTGGCCGCCGCCCCGGCTGCCGCCCGAGGCCGCCTCGCCTCGTGGACGCCCCGTGCACCTGCCCCGCGCGCGGGTCTTCTTCCGGTCGGCGCCTCGTGGGCGCCTATGTCGGCGGCGAGCCCGGGGGGGGGATTCCTCCTCCTCCTCCTCCTCCTCCTCCTCCTCCTCCGCCTTCTCAGAAGGCTCGGAAGTCCCCCAGCCTTCTGAGAAGGTTTTCCCCACACCAGCGCTTGCACTGCAGGGGTCCTGTCCCCAACCCGTGCTTGCACTGAGGGGGTCCCAGGTCACATTGAAGGATTTGGCGAGAGTGCCAGGCCGATTTTGGTGGGCGGCTAGGTTCCCGGTCCGATTTCGGTGGGCGGCCGGGTTCCTGGTTCCGGGTTCCGGGCCGATTTCGGTGGGCGGCGGGGTTCCCGGTTTTTAGGCTTTTGGTGGATGATTTTACCGATCGGTGTTACCATCGATCTCATTACCTACCCCTCAATCGATCTCATATTTCACTCTTGATATCAAAATCGATCTTTTATAGATCGCACGAGCGATCTAACGTTCGATCTCATTACGATCGACCATACAATCGTCCTCACTATCTATTCCACGATCTATCTTACTATCGATCTCACATTCGATCTCAATATCCATATCACTAATTTTCGAACCATCCACTGATTGGGTTTTTTTCTCTGGTGTAATTGAAAGATTTGGCGAAAGTGCTGGGCCGATTTCGGTGGGCGGCTAGGTTCCCGGGTTCTCGGGTTCCCGGTTCCCGGTTCCCGCGGGTTCCCGGTTCCGGGTTCCGAGCCGATTCCAGTACGGCGGGGTTCCCGGGTTCCCGTTTTTTTGCTTGATCTTCGCATCGATCGGTCTCACCATGGAACTCATGACTTATCGATCTCACAATCGATCTCACTATAGTTCTCACGATCGTTTCCACTATCGATCTCATTGAATCGATTTCACCATCGGTCTCACGATCGAAGTCACAATCGTCCTCAATTCCACTACTGATCTCACTATCGACTCACAGTCGACTTCAATATCCATATCACAAATCTTCAAGCCATCCACTGATTGTTTTTTTCTGGTGTAGTCTACGTAAGCTTACCCCGAAGACGCAGGACACCTCTAAGAAGGCCGGAGGTCTTCTGAGAAGCCCCGCCGCTTTCTGAGAAGGCCTACTCTTTCTCACTCCCCTCTCGCTCGCCGCTGACTATTGGCGCCTCGTGCGCTGACAGCTTGCGCCCAACAGCTTGCACCACACAGCTTGCGCCATATAGCACGCACCACACAGATTGCGACAATAGTTTCCCTCACACGGTCCCTCACACAGTCTGCACCACACAGATTGCGCCACACAGCTTTCGCACAGCTTGCACATCGAGGCTGCGCAAATTCACTGCTTGGGGTCAACGCTGGCAAACTCTGATCTATAAATTCCCCAACCCTCCCTTGGTTGGTTTCTCGTTCTGAATAGAGCAGTGGGGTGCCAACTCCCTTCTGCTCCTCCCGGACTCTCCCCCTCTCGCACGCCTGCACCTGCCTGCCCGCATCCCTCTTGACGGGTTGGGTACGTCGCAGGGCAGTTTCTAAACGTCGGAGGCCTTTGGAGGCCTCCAGAGGCGTCTGGGAGCCTGCGGGGACCTCTGTGGAATCCTGGAGGCTTCGCAGGCCTCCAGATTCCTTCGGGAAGGAGGGGGCAATCGGGGAGAGGAGCGAGGACAATGAGAGTAAGAAGTGGCGGAGGGCGGATGCGGAGGTGAATCCAGAGGTTGGTGATGATGACGATGTTGATGATGATGATGCTTCGATGGTCATGATGGGAGGAGGATCGGGAAGGCAAGGAGGACTTGGAGCGATGACGAGGAGGGTTGTTGCTGCATCTACTGCTGCTGCTCATGATCCCGACGACTATGACGGTGATGCTGATGATTAGCAGGATGATTGGGATGAGGATAAGGATGATGAGGCTTAGGATGTTAGTGACACCTGCGTTGCTGATGATGAGTATGATGATGGTGGCGGTGATGAGGCTGGTGAAGGTAATGCCGACGCTGGTGGCGGTGAAGACGACGACGGCGATCGTGATGATCATGATGAAGACAACGACGGCGATCGTGATGATGATGATGATGATGATGATGATGATGATGATGATGATGATGATGGTGATGATGCTGATGCTGATGCTGATGATGATGCTGCTGATGATGATGATGATGATGGTGGTGATGGTGATGGTGGCGGCGATAAGGATGGTGGTGGTAGTGGTCATGATGATGAGGAGGAGGACACGGAGGATGAGGAGGAGGAGGAGGAGAAGGATGATCATGATGATTCTGAGGATGATGATGTCGATTACGATGATGAGGAGGAACATGATGATGATCGTGATGGTGATGGTGGTGGAAGTGGCGTCAGTGGTGGTCATGCCGATGACGATGGTGATAGTGGTGATGATAATGATGCTGAGGATAATGAGGATGATGAGATGATGACGATGGTGGTACTGATGATGATGATTATGATGCTGATGATGCTGATGATGATGGTGGTGCTGTTGTTTGTGATGATGATGCTGATGCACATGCTGCTGATGATGATGATGATGGAGCAGCCGATGATGATGGTGATTATTGTGGCGATGCTGATTGCGATGATGATGTTGACTATGCTGAGGATGAGGATGAGGGTGAGGATGATGATAAGGATGATGATGGTGACTACGCTGATGCTGATGTTGATGATGATGGTAATGAGGATGATGATGATGACTGATGATTATGATGCTGAGGACGAGGATGATGATGATGATGATGATGATGAGGATGCTGATGATAAGGTTGCTGATGATGCTGCTGATGCTGATGCTGATGCTGATGATGATGCTGATGATGATGATACTGCTGAAGCTGATGATGATGTTGCTGCTGCTGATGATGATGATGATGATGATGATGCTGATGATGATTGTGGCCGGATGATGTGTACGAGGATGATGAGGCGGAGTTTGATCAAGAGGAGTTGGAGGAGGAATTGATGAAGAAGCGAAGGGGGGTCAGATGCCGATGAGGGGAAAAGGAGGAGGGGAATTAGAGGGGGACGCCGGGTGTGGTCGGAAGAATTTGTGGGAATATGGCCTGCCCCCCCGCCCCCCTCCCCCTCCTTTCCTCTCCAACCAATCCGCCCCCCCTCTCCTCGCCTCCTAGTGCTGCTGCTGCTGCTGCTGCTTCCTAGGGCCCCCTAGAACGCCTAAGAAAAGAACCGTTCAACCCATCCAAAACAACTCCATCGTCCCACCCTGCATGCTCCAGAAAAGCCTTGCCTCTCTCCGCTCTCGTCGCCACACTGCAGAGATCTTTGCCTTCCCTCCCAATTTCCCCCGCTCCCCCTGGGAAGGGGGAGGGGCTAGGAGAATTCGTGAGCATGTTAATCTGTCCTCGCCTTCCGCCCCCTCTCATCCCCCCCTTTCCCCCCATCTTCTCCCCCTGCCCTCCCCAGGCTCCTTGGGACGTCCAGGGGCCCTGTATCTCACAGATCTCCCGGCGGTCCCTACAGCAGCCCGAAACCTTGCCCTTCGCCCTCCTCCCCGCCCGCCCCTTTCCATTTCTGCTCTCCCTCCCCCCCCCTTTCGACCTGCCCCCCCCTCCACCCTCCGACGACGTCGGCGGCGGCAGCAGCCGGCGGCGACGACGGCCGCGAGGACGGCGGCAGACGGCGGCGGCAGCGGCGGCGAGGACGGCGGGGGACGGCCAAGACGACACAACGGCGGGGCGGCCGCCGCCGCGCAGCCCCGAGGGCGGGGCGGCAGCCCCGAGGGGGAGGCGGCGCCCATCGTCGCCGTCGTCATCGTCGTCGTCGTCGTCGTCGTCGTCGCCAACGTCAACGTCAATGTCATCGTCAACGTCAACGTCGTCGTCGGCGGCGGCGGCGGAAGGCGGCGGAGGGCGGCGGAAGGCGACGTGGGAAGGCGGCGGCGGCGGCAGCAGGCGGCGGCGGCGGCCAGAGCGTGGGCGCCATGGGGCGTGTCGTCCTACGAAGAGCGTCCGCGACACGGTCGCCGGTCCCCCCCCTCACGTGCCTCGGCAGATCAAAGATGGGGCCCTGAGGGATGGTGCCCTGAGGATGAGGGGCCGCAACCAGTGCAAGTTCAACCTGGAGTCATGTCCGATCCTTGCGGCCCATGGCGCAATCCCTCGGGGCCCCATCGTTGAACCGCCGAACCCAGCGCCTTCGCGCCGAGCGTTCCCTCACCTCCTCCGCCCTCCTTCCCCTCTTCACCTCACGGCCGTCGGCCCCATCCCCCGGGGCCCCATCTCTGGACCGCCCACCCTCTGCCGCATCGGCGCACACAGGAACCGCGCGGCGGCGCCGCCAGACGCGTGGCCGGCCTGAGGCCCAGGGCGCCCCCGTCCGGAGGAGGAGGAGGAGGAGGAGGAGGAGGAGGAGGAGGAGGAGGAGGAGGATGGGGAAATGGAAGGAAGGAGGAGGGGGAGGAGGAAGGCGGAGGAGGAGGAGGAGGAGGAGGAGGGGGAGGAGGAGGCGGGAGGAGGAGGAGGAGGAGGACGAGGACGAGGACGAGGACGAGGACGAAGCCGAGGACGATGGTGAGGACGACGAGGGAGAGGAGGAGGAGGAGGAGGAAAAGAGGAGGAGGAAAAGAGGAGGAGGAGGAGGAGGAGGAGGAGGAGGAGGAGGAGGAGGGAGGCGGGAGGGAAGAGAGAGGAGGGAGGAGGAGGAAGGGACGAGGAGGGAGGCGGAGGAGGAAGAGGAGGAGGAGGAGGAGGGAGGAGCAGGCGGTGGAGGCGGAGGAGGTTGCGGAGGAGCACGGGGAGGGCGCCCCGTCCGCGAGGAGGAGGGGGTTGGACCACTGATGGTGCGTGGTTCCACAGGGATGGGCGGGGGTTCCCGCCCCACGAAGCTCCGCCGTGCCCGAAGGCGTTGGGGCCGCATCGTCAGGGCGTCGAGTCTCAGCCCTGGGCAGGCCAGGGCAGACGCGATAGGCACCCCCTGGGGAGGAACGGAGAGAAGGGGCAGAGAACAGTGTGTGGGGTTGGGGGCGGGGGGGGAGGAGGCGGAACGGGGAACACGGGGGTGAAGCGGGGCGAGTGGGTGGGGGGCGTGGAGGGCGGCAAGGAGGGGTGGGGCTGGGCGGCCTGGTGGTGGGTGGTGCATCTGCTGGTAGGACGGTCTGGCGGCCACCCCCTGGCCCTGTGGTTGCCACCACAGGCGGGCGTCATCCCCGCGCCGTCGACGTCCCCCAACCCGGACGGCCACGTGTTTGCCGCCAGGGCCGTTTGCCAACCCTGGTCCGTTGCTCCTCCTCCCGAAGCACGACCTTGAAGGTCGTCGGTGGCCTCGGTGGTCTGGCGGCCTCGGCGGTCGGGCGGGGGGCCTGTGCTACCACCGCCTTGCCGCCTCTCCGCCGGGGTGGGGGGGGAGGGGGGGACGGCCGGGGAGGGGGGCAGGAGGGGGGGCAGGGCGAGGGTCTTGGTCGGCGGCCTCGCTGGCTGGGGGAGAAGGGCGCGTGGCCCGTTTTTCCCTGCGCCCCGCGCGCGCGTGCACGTGAGCGCCCGCGGCCCGTCCCGCGAGCTCCACCTTCTGCGCGCGCTCCGCTGTGTCCGCCGTGTCCAGGAGGCCCCACTCGCGGATGCCGTTGGCGAGGGCGACCTCGCCCGCGCGCGCCCGCGCGGCGTCGCGAAAGGTGACGACGGCCAGGCACACCGCGAGCAGGTGGTGGAGGCCCGCCGGGTCACGGCCGCAGAGGACGCATGCCTCGACCAGCCTGGCCTGCGCTTCCGCGCTCCAGACGACCCCCAGGATGGCCCCCGACAGGCGCGCCACCACCCGCGCCTTGCGGTATTTCCACATCGGGCTCCACAGCGCTCAGCAGACCGCGGGCGCCCAGGGCTTGCGCAGCGGGGGGAGCGCGCTCAAAGGCTGCAAGCCGGTGTCCGCCAGCCGCCCGACTGCTCCGTGAACCACCGCGCCTCCGCTGTGCCGAAGGGGGGGTCCACCGCCTGCGCTGCCAAGGCGCGCGCCGGCCACCGCCGCCGCGCAGGGGTAGCCCCAGACTCCAGGACCGGCCCCTCGGTACCCCCCACGCCGTGCGCCACCTCTTCCGCGTCGCTCAGGCAGGGGCGCACGCCAGGGGTCGCCTCCGCTGCTCTCAGCACTTCTGAGATCGGCGACGGCCGGGGCAGGCGCCCCGTGGAAGTCGCGGAGGAGGAGGAAGACGAACACCACGATTCTTAGTCATGTAAAACATCGAACACATGTCCTAACAATAATACGAGTGCCACTAATAATCACATGGCCTCTGATAGTAAGCGTAAGATCAATACTCATACTGGTGCTCATCACGCCAACAACAATATTATCAGTCATGCTGATCGTACGGGTTATCTCAGGCATACATTTAAGCATACTAATAATGATAGTAACTCTACAAGTGCAATTAACAATACTAACACTAGCAATACTACTACTAATCATCGTGATCCTAGTGCGACGAGTAACCGTGCTATTATTACACATGGGACTGGTAAAGGGAAGAGGAGTCGTATTAGTAACACTAAGAACGAAGTTACACAGGATAATAATAAGCATAATGCTAATACCCTTAATACTACCATGAAGCATACTATTACACATAACACATAACAATCGGAACAACACTACACTAACTATACTAATAATAAGAAAAGAATGCTGTTACGAATAAAAGTAATAATACATGGAGGAGAAGAAAAAGTGTGCGGGGGAGGAGGAGGACGAGGAGGAGGAGGAGAAGGAGGACGAAGAGGAACAGGAGGAACAGGAGATGGTGGAGGAGCACGAGGAGCACGAGGAGGACGAGGAGAACGAGGAGGACGAGGAGGACAAGGAGGATATGGAGGACGAGCAGGAGGAGGAGGGTGAGGTTGAGGAGGAGGAGGAGGAGGAGGAGGAGG